TTTGTTTTTAATGATTTCTTCTAAAGAAGTTTGTGGGATTGGGATGAGAAGCTTGCTTTTTTTTTTTTTTTTTTTTTTTTTTTTCCTTTTTTTTGTTTTTTTTTTGTTTTTTTTTTTTTTTAAGTTCAATAAACAAAAGTCTTTTTTTTTTTCGGATATTGTTGCTCTTGATTCCCTCCCCCACTTTTTTTTTTTTTTTTTTTTTTTTTTTTTTTTGTGGTAAATCTTGATTACTCTGGACTTTTTTCTTTTTTAAAAGTTCTTTGTATATAATTCTTTTTCTTTTTCCACAAAGGTCTTTTATCAAAAGGAAAAAAAAAGAATAATTAGGAAAATTATGTATATGTATGTATCTTATGTATGGTATGATATGCAAGGAAGAACAAATTTAAAAATTTCGCGTTTATATATATAAAATCAATACTGCGTTCGATTTAAAAATTTTCTTATCAAAATTAATCATCGTTAATAATAATAATATTTCTTTATAGATTGATTTTTCACTCAATAAAAAGAAAGATAACTTAACAATTGACATTAAAAATATTAAAAATAATTTTTATTATTGCCCCTTTTTTTTTCACTTTGATAAATTTTTCTTTAAAGAAAAAAATGATAGCCTAAGGAAATATCCGCAGATTATGAGGAAACGATATGAATTTGATTAAAAAAAATATATATATATCTAACGCTAATACCTAAAAGATAAAATAAGAAATCGACCATCATCCCTACCCATTATCACTATATGAAAACTCCCCCGACAAATTAGGCACGTCCCGTCCGTTATAAGGATATTTGGACGCTATCGTTGGCTGTTACATATATTGTTGTCGTTGTTTGACGTTTTTGCCGAAGACAATCAACACATCGCGCTAATTTGAAGGGGATTCTCATTTTAGCAAGATTTATGATATAAAAAAAGGTTTATCAATGAAACTTGAGTTTGGGCATGTGAGGTGAGTGCTGGGAAAAGGGATCAAATCAAAAAATTTTTTCAAAAAATTGTTCTCAAGTGAAATTAAATCTGATCATCCAGAACTCTCATTATATTTTAAAAAAATAATTTTTTTACCCCATGTTTAACATATAGATTAGCCACTGACAAATTTCGATTATTCAGACTTGGTCCAATCCAATTAAATAAGAAAAGACCAATTTTCACTTTTTATTATTAATAAATTGAATCAACAGAAAGAAAAAGAAAATCTTTGTAATGATAATCCCTTATTGGGTATCCTATACACTTTTAAAAAAATATATGAGGTTTCGTTCAATTTATAAGCGACGGACTGACAAATTCAAACGCCAAACTAAATATGGTAATGATTGTCCGGAAAAGTTATTAGGAAAATTCTCCAAAAATTGCGTAATCTTTTCCTATTGATATGAAAAAAAAAGTTATAAAAGGGAATGGTTTTTTCTCGATAAGAAATATTAAGAAACAAAAAAGAAAAATCAATTCACTTTCAACATCAAAAGTAAATAGAAAAAAAGAAAAAAAAAAAAAGATGACCGATAAAATCACACGTGAAAATATCGGAGCCCCAAACGCTCCATTCTATACACCTATTCAAAACCCACCACCAGGCACTTTTGTCAAAACTACCCAATCTAATGGCGTCATTGAAAATATCCCATCATTATTTACACCGTTAAAACTTCGTGGTATAACCTTACCAAATAGAATAGCGTTATCACCAATGTGCACGTTTAGCGCTCAAGATGGTGCCTTGACGGATTGGCATTTGGTACATCTAGGTCAATTTGCCCTGAGAGGTGCGGGATTAATCATGGTAGAAGCTACGGCCGTGACACCTGAAGGCAGATTAAGTCCAAACGATTCGGGATTATGGAATGACGAACAAATTGCCCCATTGAAAAGGATCGTAGATTTTGTTCACTCTCAAGGTGTTAAAATTGGTATACAACTAGCTCATGGTGGCAGAAAAGCTTCTACGATAGCTGCTTTTATTAATGTAAAGGCTCTTGGAAATAATGTTAAATATTCTCAGTTATTACCTGAAGAATTTGGTGGATGGCCAAACGATGTGATTGGACCTTCACCTATTCCTTGGGATGATGAACATGCTAATCCAAAAGAGTTGACTATAGAACAAATTCACGAAATTCAAGAATCTTTTGTCGCGGCTGCTAAACGTGCCGAAAAGGCAGGATTTGATATAGTAGAATTACATTATGCTCATGGATACCTTGCTCATGAATTTTTTTCTCCCATTTCAAATAAACGAACAGACCAATATGGAGGTTCATTTGAAAATCGGGTTAGATTTGGGCTGGAAATTACGAAAAAGGTTCGGGAGATTTGGTCAGAGGATAAACCTTTATTTGTTAGAATTTCTGCTACAGATTGGGTTGATGATGAAGATAGTTGGGAAATCAAACAATCCGTTGAATTATCCAAATTATTTCAAGCTCTCGGTGTTGATTTAATTGATGTCTCTACCGGTGGTAATACCCCTAAGCAAAACTTGGCTGTTAAAGATCATTTCCAAGTTCCTTTTGCTGAAGTGATTAAGAAAAATGTTGATATTAATGTTGCTACCGTTGGTTTAATAAAAGATCCTAAACTTGCCAACGGTATTGTGGAAAATGGCCAAGCTGATTTGGTATTTTTAGCAAGAAGTTTTTTGGCTGATGGTAATTGGGCGATAAGGGCAGCTAAAGAACTAGGTGTATTAATCCAAACTCCTGTACAATATAATTACGCGATTAGGAGTTTTCTTTAAATAGTTAAAAGTTCCCAGTTATAAATTTTGGAGTACTAATATTTGTATTTTTTTTAATAATAAATTGATAGAAGATTTTTATTTTGATTAAATTCGGCCAATTGATAATGAAATTGTACATAAATGTTTAATGAATTAAATGATAAATGATTTCTTCTCCGATTCTGTATTTTGTTTAGATATCATTCGGGATATTAACTTAAATGTATACTTTATAAAGAGTATAAATTTACTTAATTTATGCTACCTATGAGTATCAGGAATAACGAAAGTCTAAAATTTCCCTCGAAATATTAGGTTTAACAGTTTGGAGTTTATTTTAATCAAGATAAATAAATCAGGTGCTGTTCCAATTTTGCGATTCATTAACTGATACGACGAAGCTTTTGATCTGTTAAATAAATTTCAAATCTTTAAAAATTTGGATTAAACCGAGGGTAACTGAATCAATTAATAATAATGCTTAATTTATAATGCTTCATTGCAGAGATCAGTTTAAATAAAATTTTAGAGGCTATATATGCTAAATAAAAATTTGATTCAAAGTCTTATACGAAATACTAAGTCAAATGCATCTAAAAGTTGTACTTGAATATATGATAAATAGATTATAACTAATATTTTGGAAAAAATTTGCAAAAGAAGAGAAATTTAAGGATAATACAATTCTAATTATTACAGAAATAGATTTGTCATATATTAAACTAAAAAATATGAAAAGGTTGTTAATAATATCTTTTTTAAGTCAGAAAAAAGTTTTTGGAAGGTAACAAACTTCTTATCGGCTAATCGGAAAATATCCCCTTAATAGAGCTTAGATCCGGATTATCCATTGACATCCATTGAATGCATCCGTTCAAAGAATGAGAATCCGGATATCCGGATATAAATACTTTAACTCAATCCGGATAACAAATTTTGGATATTCATTAAGCATTGATTAAAGCAATAAAGCTATCGCCTATTGGCTATTCTAAATGTAATCAATTATCTATTACTTAATGAAATTTCTCTTTAGATAAATTAGAGACTCAAACAAATTATGCTTTATGAAGGTGCGTTTGGCAGTCATAATATTTCCTGCATCACTAAATAGCCTTTCACTTGCAGCTGATTTGGCCTGTACTGTCAAATATTTTCGTGCTAATTCAGATAAAATAGGAAATTCTTTTTTATGAATATCCCACCACTTTAAAACATTGATACTTTTTGGTTGCTGAGCTTCTTTGATAAAGGCGATTTTTCTTTTTGATCCTAATAAACTATTATCAGAATTTTCATTTACTCTTATAAAACTTGAAGATTTTGCATTTTTATATGCATCTCGAAGATCATTTTGAATTAATATACATTGCTCGTTTGTAGTAAATATCAAATTTTTCATCCTACAATAGTGTTAATAATAATAAAAGTTGTCTAAATCTATTATGGCTATAAGGAATCTAATTGTACTTCACGAAGTGCAGCCTTAGATCAAAGAGAGATTAAATAATATTAGCATAAATAGATTCAACCGGAATTCACCTCTCAGAAGTTCTAAAATCAAACCTTTTTCTTACTGGAATGATTGCATCTACCTCTAATACTGAGATTGATGCCTCTAATACTATTAATGAATAAGATTAAAATTAAAAGATAGCATTTAATTTTTTTTATTAAAAGAATTGAACTATAATTTTTATTTTAATTTTTTAAAGTAAAATCTAATTTCTATATTTTTTTCTTTTCTCTATAAAAAATTTAATCTGTGTTTCAATATTTCATACTTTTTCATATAAATCATATTTTTATAAGACAAATAATTAAAAATCACAAAAATGATCAACTTTATTTACACTTTATATAAATACTATTAAAGTTTCATTTTTTATAGAAATAAAGGATAAAATTTTTTTAATATTATTTCTGAAATATGAATTTATGCTATATGCATTGTCACTGGATTTGTTTTTAGTTATTTTAATGTTCAAGTCAAAAGAGCTGTAGCAATTGATTTTATATATTAGAATTTCTGACTTTAGAATTTTCTCTAAATCTTACAGATATCTGTTATACTTAAATCAACTTAGCAATTTATTACGTCTTAGAATTTAAGATATATTTATTTGAACTCATAATGATGAACTCAATAGTAAGTTAGTATAAAATATCACAAAAAATCCTAAATAAATAATATTAAAAGAAAAAATAATTTGTATAGGTTTAAATTGATTTTTAAATTAATAATTTAAAACTCACAAAAGAGTTATTTATAACTTAAGCAAAAAGTTATTCTATTTATACAAAATCAATTTGCTATAACTATTGGTTTGTATCGTTTAGTCATAGTAAATTTTTTTTAGTACCAAATTTATTAATTATATAAACATATAAAATTATGTAACTAAAAAGTGCCAAATTTATAAATTTATATATAAATCACGTGATACGTGATTGATATTTATACTTTATTAAATTAATTTAAAATAATTCTTTAAAAATTGATTAAGAAATAATACAATGACTTTTATACTTTTTAATTGCATATTCTGCTTGCTTTATATTAAATCCTTTTCTATAAGCATTCAAATATCTAAAAGACTTTTGTGCATAACCTCAAATTTATTTTAAAAAAATTGAATCTAATGCTTCTGATACAATCTTTTGTAAACCTTGCCAAATATAATCATATTTTCTTCTTACATATCATTTGCATCTCCCTAATAAATCTTAATAAAGTTAAATTCACAATGAAATTTAGAATAAAAAATGACTTTATGATCCAAATTTTTGATTGTTTTACAAATTAAACAAGATTGATTACAAAAATTATCTTGTTATTCTAAAATATATTACATATAATAATTTTCTCCAGATGTATTATTTTTGCAAAAGCCAATTAATTTTTCATTTCATAATCCTCTTTCTTGAAGAATTACTTTTATTTCTTTTGATTTTTCTCGTAATTCAAGATTTAAATAATCATTTGAAAATACTATATGTTGTACTTGACCATTAAAAACTGTATCACACATTTTTGGTTGTTTTTTACTAGAACTTATATTTATTGCTTTTGTATTAAATGCATCTAATGCATAAGCACCATATGAAGAAGAATTATCAAAAGCAAATATAGTAATAGCTCTGGAATGTATTATTTCAAAAATGAGAATTACTTTTTAACAATTTATATATGTAAATTTAATTAATAAAAAAATTATATTTTTTATAAAATAATATATAATTATATACCTGCTTAATCAATTATTCAATATTTCAATAACTATTATAATTTTTTTTAGGATGTATTATTGTTCTTGCTTCATATGGAAAGTTTTACCAATAGTATTTATTTGTTCTTCATTAAGTTTAAGTCTTCTAATAGTTTTACATAAAAAATCACTAATATGAATCGCTCAACCTTGTCCCTTTTTTTAAGTGACTGTTCAGTATCAGGACTCATTCAGATTTTTAACCATCAATAGCATAAAACAATGTTTTATCATGAGTAATAAAAATATGAGATTTATCCATTTCATTAAGAATAAGATTTATTTGAATTTTTAAATCATTTCCTTCAAAGCGTGATATTAACTTTTCATATCTATTAAAATAAATTTTATTATATTAATTATTTTATTATTAATAAAAATAAATAAATAAATAAAATATAATCATACTTTATCATTTGAATAAAAAATTGTTAACGATATTCAACAATATTGGCTCTTTCATATCTATTAATATATATTTTTTTATAATATATTTTATATCAAAACCCATTTTATAAAGCCAATGTCAAGCTGTACTTTTTCTAATTAAATAAAAAAAGTAATTAAAAATATATCTTAATATAAAGTTCAATAATTAAAAAAAGGCAATTGCTATTCGTACACACGTGTACTATTATCTTATGATACTAATAACTGAAAATTAGTATTAACGCAAGATTAATAAAGGGATTTAGCTTTTATTCGATACTTTTTAGGGAGAGCTCTGAAAGGTTTATAAATAATTATTACTTCAAACAATAAGATATATTTAGAATAAACTTTAGGATTTTATTAAGGAGTAAAGAATTCGATACAATTATATTTGTTAGCATATAATTGTTATTAGTATTTATCTTGTTGGTGATAAAAACTAATT